CAGGATTTCTTCAATCTCCCAATGGAAGAGAAGAAAAAATATTGGCAGTACCCAGGAGAACTAGAAGGATTTGGACAGGCCTTTGTTGTGTCTGAGGAACAGAAACTTGATTGGGGTGATCTCTTTTTCATGATCACCCTCCCACACCATTTCAGAAAACCCCATCTGTTCCCTAAGCTGCCTCTTTCTTTCAGGTCTGCCATCTTTTTCTCTTCTATCTTTCAGTGAGTGTGATTTGGTTTTTAACTCAAATCTCCTTTTTCTTTTCCTTTTGTAGAGATGCGTTGGAAATTTACGCATTGGAGCTGAAAAATCTAGCCATGGCCATGTTAAAAATCATGGCAAAAGCACTTGAAATGGAAAGCGGAGAAATGGAGGAATTCTTTGAAGAGGGTTTTCAGTCAATGAGGATGAACTGTTACCCTCCATGTCCTGAACCAGAAAAGGTTATTGGGCTCGCTCCTCATTCTGATGCTGTAGGCCTCACCATCCTGCTTCAGATAAATGAAGTAGAAGGCCTCCAAATAAAAAAAGATGGCAAATGGGTTCCAATTAAGCCTCTCCCAAATGCTTTCATCATCAACATTGGAGACACTTTGGAGGTAATTACTATCATAATTGTACTTGCTTCCTTCTGGAGAAATGAAAATCAGGGTTTTGATGAATATGAATTGAACTTCTTTTGGTAGATTATAACAAATGGAGCATATCGTAGCATCACTCACCGCGCGACAATTAACTCAGAAAGAGAAAGGCTCTCCATTGCCACATTCTATAACCCGAAGTATGAAGGGGAAATAGGTCCAGCAAGAAGCTTGATCTCTCAGCAAAAACCAGCGTTGTTCAAGACATTGGGGGCCGAAGAATATTTCAAAGGACTATTTGCTCGTAGGCTTCATGAAAAATCTTACCTTGATACCCTGACACTGTAACAAGGTTAGACCTGAAGTGATGTTCAATGCAGAATTTCGATGAGTGAGTTAGAGAGAATAAGAAATAAATGTGAAAAATGTGCTGCTATATATGTAAAACTACGTTGAGGAGTAAACTACAATGATAATCTATTTCTTTTCAAATTAAAATATAAAAACTTTAATATGTAGAAAATGTTCAAAAAGTGACCTTGGTTTTTGTACAAGCTGGTAGGTAAATAATTGTTCGTATCTTTTTTTTTAACATATTTTATAACATTCATTAGTTTAGTTATTAAAATTTATAACTTTTAACTTTTTTACCTTTAAATTAAATTTAAAAATAATAATTTCTTAATAATTGTGTTATAATGTGTATTGAATAAAAAAATATACTAATTATTATCCAAACTGATATTTATCATAAACTAGTATTTAGCATAGTCATAATCTGGTATTTGTTATAGTGGCATAAGCTAGTATTAATGTACATACAACTAACCTTCACAATTAAAGACACACGGTGATGATCAACAAGAAGAAATTATTGAATACTTCCTCTTCACCAAAATATATTTTCGATTTTCTTTTTCTAAATTAAGGATTTGAAGGTAAATTATGTATTTATCTATATTAACCTTAAAAAAGAGATAGGCTAGATTTTTTGTGATAAAATAAATAATTAAAGTAAATGAATAACAATAGGGTTAAAATAAGGAAAAAAATATTTGTCTACCTAAAAAAAAAAATGAACAGTTAATTTTGAACAAATTCAAATAGAAAAACAATAATTATTTTAGAATGAATGGAGTAGTTATTTAGATATTATTTAAAATTCTTATACAAGTTATTATTTTTATTTGAATGTTGTTATCATTAGTTTTCCTAATTTTATTAGGATTAGGTCTTTTATTAAGAATCTTATAAATTCTAATAGGAGACTTAGTACTTAATATGTAAATATGCTTATAACTTCTTTTATTAGCAATAAATTAAATTTAGAAATTTGTAACATGACCTTTTTATTTTTTTGAAATTATGTAATGTAATTTTATTGTTTGATACGACCAACCTTAGGTGTGATACTTAACAGTTCTTTCCTATTTAGGTATGATGCCTTAAAAAAATTATGTGTAACTCTCATAATTTTAATTTTCTCTTTCCTGTTTACTCTCATTGTTCATAACCTAGGCTTAGAAAAGAGGGGTAACAGAAAATACAAAAACATAGAAAAATCTTACAAAGTCATATTTAGATTTCTTTAAACATCACACCTAAAGAGAATAGAAACCCTTAAGCATCACACCTAAGGTTGGTTGTATCACACAACTAAAATTGCACCACATAATCTCAAGAGAGAACTCTTGCCACAAATTTTTGAATATTAGAGTAACTACTAATAAAAGATACAAGCATATCTATATGCAAACTACTAAGATACCTACAAAAAACTTATTCTAATTGTTGACGTGCCAAAATCGATGAAGTCGCTTTCCATCTAAATGAGGTGGAATAAGTCACCTAAGTTTATATAAAAATTGACTAAGATCAGAGGGTTACTTAAGCATGGGAAAAGTATTAGGCACTCAATAGCTTCTGTATAAATACAATCACTATATACTTTAATTTCAAGGCAATTCAATTATTAGAGAAAAATAGAATTAATTAAAGAAGGAAAAAAAGGTTAATTAACAAAGACCAAATAAATAAATATATATATATATCCAAAAATTTTAAAACAATTGACAATTTCACTTATTAAAATTGAGATCTCCTTCATGCATTAATAATCTTAAATACTAAGGACACTTAACAAATGAGATATTGGACAATATTTCTTGCTGTTAGAAAAACATGAAGTTCCATCTTAATTTAATTCCAGTTGATGAATACTTAATCTGCGACATAGCAATTAGGTGGCACTTCAATCCGACAAACTAAACAAACTGTTGTGCGCCCTTTCATTTCTCTTTTCTTAACCTGATTCCAAGATCATCAAAACAGCAATAATAAAAAAAAAAATGAACAATAAACAGGACAATTTTTGAACAAAACAGACTTATAATTCCGAAGTTCCTCATTGTCACGCCCCAAAACCCGAATTCGAGGCGCAACAGACGCCGTACACTCGTTAGACAGGTCCCACAAGTGCACAAGGCTCGGAACTTATTCAAATCACAATCTGATACCTCAAAATCTCAAAATAAAATCTTTACAGTCTGCTCTGATATCAAAAATCTCCACATACACTTTAACTCTTAAGATCACGATCTACATATCAAATCTATATTCACTTTACAAGATGGCTAGCCTTCTAACTCGTCACTCCTCTTGGTTTTCCCCGTCCTCGGTTTCACTTCCTGAAATGGTGGACAAGGAAAACTATGAGATAACTCAGTAAGTAAATATGGATAGCCCTTGGGTAAAACTTTTAAGCATGCCAGATAAACCATGTAAGCATA